TGTAGCGTGGCCGAGCTGCACTCTGCACTCCGGTCCGCGGTGGCCGGCCGGAGTGATAGGAAGGGGCACACTGAGTGTGCACTTCCTGTCAGTCCGGCCGGTTACAGGAAACAGAAACTCCTGTTCCGCGCGGAGTTTCTGTTTCCTGTAACCGGCCGGACTGACAGGAAGTGCACACTCAGTGTGCACCTTCCTCTCACTCCGGCCGGCCACCGGGACCGGAGTGCAGCTCGGCCACGCTACAGGGGAGGGAGGGGAGAAGCTGCAGCCGCCTGACCGCTCTTAACTGTCCGGCCCTGCTTATCAGCCTTCTACTTATCAATCCTTGTGATGCTTATTTGTAGCACTGTGTTATTATAGCAAAAAAGGAAAAATGCTGGATAGCAGGGTGGGACAGAAATGTACCATAGTTGCATTTTAACTCTCTGTGCAGTCAGGGGTGACGTCTATGTTTGACAAAAAACTAGAGCAATATACTTACTATACGTCTGGTTTGGTGTCCTCTTGGCACTCACTAATCATGCTTTTTGGGATTCGACTCTATTTATTCTGTTAGTTAATGAAGACTGGGAAAAGGCAGACATTTTAAATAACTATTTTTCTTCAGTATATATTAATGAGGATCCTATGGCAAGATATATGCAAATGATTGCTAAAAAAAACTTGCAGATAACTTGTGATTGGATGAATCGAGACAAGGTGCTACAACAGTTAAAGAAAATTAATGTAAATAAAGCCCAGGGGCCTGACGGTATTCACCCATGAATACTTAAGGAGCTAAGTGGGGAAATAAGTGAACCTCTCTGTTTAATTTGAAGGTCTATTAAGGGATAATATTCAGGAATTTATTGGGAAGACCTTTGTTATTAGCAATAATCAGCATAGTTTTATGAAGCATAGGTCAGGTCAAACTAATCTAATTGCATTCTACGAAGAAGTAGAAGTATAGATCAGGGTGTTGCAGTGGATGTGATCTATTTGGATTTTGCCAAGGCATTGTCATGCAGAAACAGGGGCACAAATTCTCAGGATGAAAATATAATTTTGCCTCTTTATAAAATGGTAAGACCACACCTTGAATATGCTGTGCAATTTTGGGCACCTGTTCTAACGAATGATATCATGGCACTAGAAAAAGTGCAAAGATGAGCTACAAAATTGATGAAAGGAATGGAGCATTTTAGTTACGAAGAATGGTTTTAAAATGTAAATCTCTTTAGTTTGGAAAAACGGCGCCTCAGAGGGGATATGATAAGATTATACAAATATATTCTGGGCCTGTACAAGCCATTATCTGGAAATCTATTCATAAACAGGGCTATACATAGGACACAAGATAAATACTTCCAAAAACATAACATACAGGGATATAATTTCTAATTAGTGAGGTAATAGCTGCTTGATCCAAGGAGATATTTGACTGCCATTTTGGGGTCAAGAAGGAATTTTTTCCTAGTTTGTCACAATATTGGAAGCACTTCTGACTGGGTTTTTTTGCCTTCTTTTGGATCAACAGCAAAAACATATGTGAGGAAGGCTGAACTTGATGGGCGCAAGTCTCTTTTCAGCTATGTAACTATGTAATTATGTAACATTACCAATCATATGAAGGATGTATGAACAACTATTTATTAAAAGGTACACTATAGTCACCAGGACAACTATATCTTAATGTAGTTAGTCTGGTGAGTATAGTCAGTCCCTGCAGGTGTTTTGCACTAAATACTGTCTTTTCAGAGAAAAGGCAGTATTTACATTACAGCCTAAGGATACCTCCACTGGCCACTCCTCAGTGTTTTTAACGCTATAAGGTCAGGAATAAATGTTTGTGTTCCTAACAATATAGTGTTCCTATGTTTTATGAATTGAGAGTGCAGTTTAAAGAGTGGTCATACAAGCTGTTTAGTAGAGGACACAAGTGATGGTATGCAGTATAAAATGCAGGAAAGCAAAAAATCACAATGATTTCTATAAAATAGAGATGTTGATCTCTCCAAGACTGGAACTTAAAGGGACACTCCAGGCACCAAGACCACTTCTGCCCATTGGAGTGGTCTGGGTGCCAAATCCCATCACCCTTAAACCTGCAAGTGTAATTATTGCAGTTTTTATAGGGTTAAGACCTCCTCTAGTGGCTGTCCTTGAAACCTGAAAGGTGATGCTGGAAGCCCTCATAGAAAAGCATTGAATAATGCTTTCCCATGGGGAGGTTTTGATGCGCATTAGGCCTCCCCCACATGCTGACGTCGGCGGGGTAGGAGCTTGGGTGGAGCCTGACCCAGTGGCGAGGGACATCGGTGCTGGATTCAGGTAAGTCACTGAAGGGGTTTTAACCCCTTCAGCATCATGGGACGGGGGAGGGAGGGAGAGGGGTCCTGCAGTGCCAGGAAACAGATACCCGTTTTCCTGGCACTGGAGAGTCCCTTTAAAGAACATGTTAATTCAGTAAACAGCATCAATGAACATTAAAAGAGTCGTTGAATGATGTTACAGAAATTGATTTATTTTCCTAATGTCCCAACATGACCTCTTGCAATCTTGACATCCTGCAAATTCGGTGAGAGGAGCTTCCAGGACGCTCAGCTAATACCTCTTCTTTTGCAGCTTGTGCGAATGAAAAAAAAAAAAAAGCAGAAGGAAAATAAGATTGGTTAACTATTACAGGAGCATGAATGGCTTCTGTGTTCTAAAATTTTGAAAGTACGATTTGCAGCACCGTAGAGCTCTCCAATGGTAACATAACATTTAATTTAGAACAACTCAATACAAAAATAAACGTATTTATTTTACAAAGTAACCCCTTATTGTGAAGTCAGCAGAATCCTAAACTTAAAGGGCTTTTATCAACCTTGAGTGGGCATACAGTGATAATTAATTTTATCTCTAAAAAATACGACACACGTAAACATTTGGTTTCACTTCTGCAGCTAATCCCCAAGCTATTTGCCCTCGTTAAGCAGAAGTAGCACATGACATTGTATGTGCAGTATTACCACAATGGTTTTCATTCAAATCAATGGAGGCCATCAATGCTATACTACACATGTAGGCATGGCTGCTACTGACAGTCTGTCAATAAACAATCATGCACCATACCAAACGCACGGCAGCTTCTTTTACCAATATCAAGCTATACAGGAATGTTGTAGAGGCAGAAGGTAACGAAAAATAAATTTTCTTCCTACTCATATCCAATGCCAACTCCAAGAATATGTACATTTTATACGCATGCAAACCTGATGCATGAAGAGCACCTTTAAATACAACCTGACCCTTTCCTATTTAGGTAGAAGAAAGCACTTCTTTAGAGCCCACCCATGAGTCAATACTCCAGCTATTCTGTGTCAGAACATTGACTGAGTACACAGGTAATCAATGGTCTTGAAAGGGTTAAAGCATAGACTGCACTGCCTAGTAACGCTCTCTCTCTAATTGCATTACAACAAGTAGGTCTTGATTACGTTCTTTTTTTAATTTTGTTTGATTTAAGACAAACGGATTTTGTTTTAGAGATATTCACAAATTGTGTTGTTGTTAACAGCTTCCCATCATTTCACCGGTTATGTACTTGGGGTTTTCAATTTTGGCTTTTGGTCCCTCCTTTCTGTGCTAGTGCCCAGCAACTCTGATATTTAATAGGACTGCCGCATCCGCTAGTCTCTCTCCGTAGGATTTCTGGGAACTTGTTTGTAAACACTGTAGCCATGTGCGCGTCACCACGTGAGGAGGCGTAGCACTGACCTGGAATCTACTATTTGTGGAGTAACCTCTGGCACTGGTAACAATACAGCATGGCCAGGAACCTTTTTAACTCTCTCAGCTGGCAAAATGTTTTGAACTGTGTCAAATATTCATACAAAATTAAGAAAAAAGGTAAGCATAACCTGGCAGGTTTTCCCTATTTACGTCATACCATTTTAAAAGGTCTGATGCAAACCTCAGCTCTGTATTGATATCTATATATATGGGTCAGAGGTTTGTGAAGCAACCTTTGTACATGCTTGCAAACACAAACAAAAACACTGAGAATACAGCAATGCAAGAAGCTAATCTACTAGTGATCAATTCCCAATAAAACCGGAATTTCACAAGGAGCTCTACATTTTCTCTCTCTCTCTACGGTAACCATTAGTGAAGGATCAACCAAAACAAGGCAACAAAAATGTATTGGCATCAGAGTTTTGACTATTAATAGCATTCAGTACTATGTAAAGCACAGCTCAGCAACAACTGAAATTTTACATCTGTTTGTCGTGTACTTTAGTGGGAATTACTTTTTCCACTCAAAAGAAAAGTCGGATACGGTCAAGGAGGGCATACAAGGTGAGAACATACAGTGTAATCTTGCGTAACACAAGGCAGAGAAGGACACAGTACAGAGGAAGCTCATTCACTGCTTCTAATAAGGGAATCCAACACACATATGATAAAACAGTGTAACACATAGTGACTGATAATGGCTGCAAGCAATACAGTTCAAGTCAGGCCACAGGAAAAAATACAAGATGTTCTGGGAAATTATTAACACGTAATGCAGCTATGAGGAGTCATATTATTTTACAAATCAGGACTGCTCTGCTATAAGAAATCTCTAATTTAATTTGTTAGAGGCATAAAACAGCTTTTTTTTTTTTTTTTTAAACACATGAGGAACATCTACAGAAAGGTAATACAAAAGAGAGAGTGAGTCTGTTTGTTCCTGCTCTTTGGTATTATGTAACAGGTATACGGAGTCCCAACCCAACTTCACTTTATTTTGAAATGACAAGGAGTCTGTACAATGCATCTTGGCAACAAAACACTGACTGTGGCATCAAGCAGAAATATTACTGCAAAACAAAAACAAATTTGAGCCCTCACAGTGTTTCATTTCAGTAATGAATGTGTTTTGTTGACAAACTTTAAGAAGGTTTCCATGACCAACAATATTTATAGCTCCTCTACAAAACACCAAAGGTTATTATTACAAATGTGTAAAGCATGTGCCACCACAGCTCCACTTGCTTGGGAGGCTGACTGCAGTCTATTTTTGGCTCACTGTAGAAGACATCGCTCCATTTCATGGTGCTCCATATCTCTTGGATAACAGTATTGGAAGGAAGATTAAAGCTAAATTCGTTGAAGGGATAGCGTATACTCTCAGTTAATGCCATAGGCAAGCGACACCAGAAAACCAGGTACTGCAGTGTAAGAATTGTAGACGTAACTTGTCATCCTCCACCTAGAGTTCATTACGTAATTGTCCCGGAGAATTCTGGGCCGTCACTTTGTAAACAGTGTAGCCACGTGCGCACAGAACCCACATCAAATTAACTCTTCCTGCAAGCAACGCATCAGAAGATATGGACAGACTTACAGAACCACACGGTCAAACATTGAAAGACACAAAATATAGCAGATTTCAAGCTATATTAACAAATTACAACAAAAATAAATACTTTTATAATATGTGAGTATAATCGAAAGCAATATTAGCAATGTGAAACAAAGTACTGTAATATGTTATATGAAATCTCCAAAGGTTCAATGATTCCAATAATAAAATCACATTTTCTAGCATATCAATCTTCAGCCTTTGATGTTTGTTTTACTACGTCCACAAATATATTCTATATACTTCCACTAACGCCATAAGGACTCAATGAATATATGAATGAAAAAAATATAAACAGCCTAAAACACATCAGCTATAAAAATAATTAAAGGAGCTCTCAAGACACAATAATCTTCTATTACACTCTGTATTTTTCCGTAAAAGGAGCTATCCCCATAAGTAGTATCTATCATGAAACAAATAAATGAAGCTACTTGGCCATCTAATACCATTTGCACTGCTGGGCCAGGTTTTATTTGATAAACACAATAATCCCTCTGTAAATAATGATAAGACTAGGACTGGCTGGGAAAAATCTTAATGTTTCCTGCAGAAGCTGCAGATTTGCAGCAATTGAATGAAATTCAGGATTAAGGAGCTTCATTTTTATATTTAATGCAAAATGCATACGCAGGTTGCCATGGTGACAAGGAATTTTGTCCAGTACCTGAGATTTGTCAGTCCGTTCAGTGGCAAGGGAGAATGGAGTCATCTGGCTGAGGTAGAGTGAAGCCGGGCAGCGAAGGAGCTAAATCGACAGTCTCTTCTTGCTCTATTCCCTTGCGCGTTCTGCTGTCATGCCCGTTGCGGGTATGACGTAACTCTGTCCCCAGCATTACTAAATGGTGCGCGAGAGAGCAGAGAAAGAAGAGCTGGAAGATTTCTGCAACCATACTGTTCTCCAGTGAAATAATCCACTCCAGCTCTCCCAAAGGTAGAGAGGCTGGGTGCACTTAAAAATAATGTTTAAATGTGTGAGATGATCTGTTTGAGTCGGTCTGTCTGTGAGTGTGTGTGTCGGTCTTTCAGTAAAGGTATGTGTCAGTGAGTGTGTGTGTCTGTATGCCTGTCAGTCAGTGAGTGTGTGTGTCTGTATATCTGTCTGTCAGTGTGCGTATCTGAGTGTGTTTGTGTGTGTGTATCTGTCTGTCTGTCAGTGAGCGTGTCTGTCAGTCAGTCTGTGTGTGTGTCTGGGTGTGTTTCTGTGCCCGTCTGTCAGTGAGTGTTTCGTCTGTCAGTATGTGTTTGTGTCTGTTTAGGTGACCGGCTCCCCTCCGATAACATGGGAAAGATGCTTTTTCTCAACTTTTTTTGTACTCTGTGCCAGTCTTCCTGTGGCTGGCTCCACCTCCATGGCTAAAATCATCAATCTTGATGATCTCAGCCAAGGTGATGCTTTCCCATAGGAAATCAATGCATCTCTATAGGGAACATTCAGCGCCTCCATGCAGCACTGGACTAAGAAGCATCTCTATTGGCCGTATGTGTGACTGTCACTAGAGGTGTTATAAGGTAGCAGTGTAAACACTGCCTTTTCTATAAAAAGGAAATGTTTACATTCAAAAACCTGCAGGAACAGGCTATAGACGGCATTACCACTACACTAAGCTGTAGTGGTTCTGGTGACTATAGTTTCCCTTTAAGAATTGCATTTTTGTCATTGAAAATAATTCTTTGTTAGTTTAACAGGCTGCAAACGTTTTTTAGCTGGCTCCTTGGCGCCAAGCAAATTTGTCAAGCCCTGGGATACCAAATCAATCTTTCATCTTGTTAATGTGTCAGAATTTTTAGTAATTGAATTTCAAAATTGTCCTGTCTTTTGCAAATTTAATAATCATTACTATAACATTCTAAGTAAAGACAGTAATGTCAACATAGTGAGACGGGTCCAGGCCACCTTCAAAAGAGCTCATCTTGCAGGTATGTTCATGATGTTTATAAAAGAGTCAAAAATAATCATGGGAAAGTGATTTACAATGAAGTGGTGCTAAAATTCTGCTTCCAATCTTTTAATAGAAACATACGCTACAATACTTCGGCTATTAGAGTACAGTTAATTAGATGCATATCACAGATAAACTAAAGCGTATCACTATCGGTCAGCTGATCAGAATGAAGTCATGACCAGTTTGCATGCGCCCCAGCCAATTAGTGGCAGTCATTGTGGGATTTTCTCACTGCTGACATGTCCTTGTTATGAAATGAAATTGATACAGGGAAATTAATCAGGGTCTCCTCTATTGATTCAATGGACACAGGTCAATGACCTCGGCAGTTTCACCCTGAATATTAGTTTTTTCCACTACAAAATAAAAAGATATAAAGAAAGTTGGGGTTAGGCACAAAGCGGCACACACTGCATATTGCAATGTTTACAGTGCAGAAAATACGAACCGGATTAACCAGTTCTTGCAAGTTTCTGTAGGTGCAACAGTTGGCCACACAACAAATATTATGTAATAAGTTTCCAAAAAATAAATTTAAATAAACACATCATACATTTGCTATTTTTTTTATATAAATGATTGATTGAGACCCTATTTACAAGCAGTAATTGATCAGCTAGGTTCCAATATCTGCTGGGGGGGGGGAGGGGGAAATCAGGAAAATTAGAATTTGTGAGGGAATTCCCTTGACTAAAAAAAAATAAGTCTGCACGTTTCAGATTCTAGTATTGAGGCTCCCAGTAACTAAAATGACATGACATTCCACCCTCCAAAACCAAGTACATTTCTATACCCTATACTCCTATTAATCAAGTATCTCACTATAGCATGCTAGCAATCCTAGAACGATTCAAGTCAATCTCTCTGGCTGCTGGTATCTTTTGATGTCAGACTATAACTTACTGATTATAATAAAGTAGAAATGCTGCTTGCAAAGGTGAATCATTAGCATATTCCATATAATTTTCTGAAAAGTATAGCTGAGCCAGTAAATATCTATTATTAGGAAGAAAATCTTGAGGATAATATTTGAATCTACACATTAATACCTGCTTCAAATGTTCCAATACCCAACAATACTTTTAATATTTCATTCTGTACTGGATTTTACCTAAACCTCAATAGGTAAAACAAACAAACCACACTATCTTTTAAAATCACGTTTAATTCTGAGAACCTACTTTCCTAGAATCACGACAAAAATAAAATGTATGGATACCTTTATCATATGGGTGCATCACC